GTTGTGGATGCGCAGGAATAGACCAATAATTATCATGTTAAGTCCAATGGTGTCCTTGGACTTTAAATGGACATTTCCTATTGGTCGATATCTGTTCACTTGTACAAAATGTTGTTTTCTATTTTATGGTACGATGTGGGATGTGAACCCACAACAGGGAATGTTTCTGAATTTGACATTTCTGAACAACTGGGCGGATCATGAATGATTGTCTCGTTTACATCACTGGTCGTCCGGGATTCACAGAGGCTTTTATAAACAGCTTCATATGTTCTGCAGTTGTTTTCCAGCTCAGTCTGCAGATGAGAAATGAACTTGCCAACTTCTGTTGCATCTCCGAAACATGGAAGATTTACCAACAGTGTGCCTAAATTTTCTAAAAAATTTAACTGGCTATTTTTGAAGCACTGCTGTTGTTGCTCAAGTAGAAGCTGTAATCGATCGGAACAGGTAGTCATTTTTTTTGCACCAGCAATGAAAATTAACTGTAGGGATAATGACAAATGTTGTTCAAGGACGCTGATGATAAATCTGGACTCTGATTGGTCGAAACAATTAGTCTGGATCTCGTCCAATTACAAGGTTCAAAATTTCTCTCCACCCCGTCGCCAATTGTTATGACCTTAAATTGTGATCGATCCGGCGACAGTGACACGTAAACACGAACGGACGGCCTAGAGTCTCGATTGGTCCCACTTCCCTGTCTAGCCCAGTCAGTTGAGTCCAGAACACAAGTCACAACCTCTGAGATATGAATCACTATATTTCAAACATACTTTGTTTATATACCAGTCAAGCATACCACAGCGTACCATAAAAATAGAAAACAACATTTTGTACAAGTGAACAGATATCGACCAATAGGAAATGTCCATTTAGAGTCCAAGGACACCATTGGACTTAACATGATAATTATTGGTCTATTCCTGCGCATCCACAACAGTAGTTTTGATAAGAATCGTCCACCCGCTTTCAGTCTAATCATTAATTTATTAAGACTTGTGTTTGTATATATAATGGTGAAGAATGTGTCTTATCGTATATACGAGAAAATGATTGAATAGTTGGTAACTACCTTAAATACACAAAAAAATGTCAAATTAAAATCAGAGCTTATATTAGCACTAGTAAAAATAAAAAATAATAAAGATGTAATCATGACATTAACATCCACTCCTATTCAATCTGAGTGGAACAAAGAATAACTATTATTATGACCCCACTTTAGAAAATGAGATTGAATAAATGGTTTTAATGGTGCATAAATTTGATCATAAAGTTCTAATCGCTGTTTCATTTTATACGTTTGATAAACAAGAACACACAGATTATTAAAAATGAATGTTTGTTCAAACTAAATTCACTCGATGTTGTTGTCGATAACGCGATGGCATTTGAAGCGAACGGTATTGGCTTTGAGTCCCGTAGTGAACATCAACTCCGAGATGCGGCTACATGCAGCTGACGAGTCCCAAATAGGTCGAAACATGCTTCCTGGATTCCACTGCTAACCACTATCCATCTTTGCTTATTTCGCTCAAACCGTTTTTTTAATTTATGCATACTTCTTTGATCCAAATGTTCTAGAATCATAAGAAGTAATAACAATAATATTTTAATTATTATTCTCAATTTGACTTCTGAAATTATAATATACCGTTAATTAATGCTTTCACTGTTTTTATTTTTCAATTAGACGGTGTCTGAAGCTCTGCGTGAATCTTGTCTCTCTGCATTCTGTGGCAAAGCTATCAATTTCTCATAGCATCCAATAGGCAATTAATCAACCTATCGTATATATATTTATATAGGTTGATACAATGTGGAAGAAGATGGTTGTTTTTTTTTACTACATAATACTCTTTCTACTGATAAATTTCATTTAATTTCAAATGGCTTTTGTATCTTAAAGTCAGGTTGCCAACTACTGTTCTGAGGTGACTTTTCTCTAAACACCTCATTCTTTTCTGTTATTTTTGTTTGTTTTTCCCTCTGTGTTTTAACTGATAGTTTATTTGATTAGATTCATTTTATTTAGCATGTATGTAAAGCAGAATTTTCTTCTTTTAAAGAACAATAAAGTAGTTATTATAATGAATATACTTAAATATCAAATATTATTCGTCTTTAAATTCTTAATATAACTATAAAATTATTTTCAGAAGGGGTTTGTGGAGATTTTTAGAAAATTTCACAGATTGAAATCATGAGTCAGTTGAAGCTAGACCACCATTGACAACCTGGAAGCACTGGACGGCCGTTTTGTCCTAGTATGGGACTCCTCAGCAGTGCGAAACCGTCCAGTGCTTCCAGGTTTTCAATGGTGGTCTAGCTTCAACTGACTCATGATTTCAATCTGTGAAAATTTCTAAAAATCTCCACAAACCCCTTCTGATAATAATCATCTGCTCACTAGTGACTGACTTCAAGAGATACTCCTGGAGTTCTAGTGGGAAGCCGTTACCAGTGGAGTACAACCAGGTCTGTTGTGAGATATCAGCTCACTGAAGACAATGGTATATTTTGGCGCAACTTCGTGGATTGGTTGAAGTTAGACATTAACACCGTTGGATGCCGGCTCAGTGGTCTAATGATAAAATTATTTATTAAAAACTTAAAACACTAATGTATGTGCAGTATTTTACGAAACAGATTGGTCGAAACAACAATCCGAAATCTCACATATTTTAAAATTTTTTTATTTAATAAACATAATTTCTAGTACAACTGGTCAACAAATAGAGCATGAGCCACACAAATGGAAATAACATTGTGAAGAAGTGAAGAACAATGAAGGAGTACAGTCGAAGACATAGGTGAGAAAAATAGTATACAACCAGAGATACATTTTAGTTAAACATACAGTCAAGGACTTCTTTCAACTAAAGAAGTTTCTTTTTATATAAAGAATGTCAAAGAAAACTACAACAGGATTGTTCCAGGTTTCTGAACTGAACCATTTCTGATAACTAATCAACTCACTGAGTTGCATCATCTCCAGATAGATAATCTTAACTTATGATATTCATTAGACTGCAGTTACTTGTCGATGGCACTTGGTATGTTTTTCGACTTCAGTGCTCAGTCTATAGGTTGTCTCAAGATGAAAAACGTTATGCTTTCCGATTATCTACTGCCACACAATAGTGGGGGGTCAATATTTGTCATCGCTGTCATTGGACCGTAGGCATTTATTTGTTTTTACAGCCAACTACACACGTCTACCGTTATTAACAGTAGTATATGATTCCATGGTTTATATGAAATTACGGTTTGTGGTGAAGCATGAAGTCTCTTTTTCAACTGTGGCAGGTTCGAGCCTTTCGACGTATGAGTGACTCTGAATGCTCCTGTTCGACTCTAGATGCTCATTACTGAGAAATCCCAAACCAGTATGAAACAACCCATGCTCACTGGTTTTTCAATATTTTTATGGTTGATATCGATTTGCCACACAAACTACCTTCAAAATGACATCCTCAAATACTTAGATAGTTAGATTGCCATCGTGTGTAGTTGATATATAACTGATATATGTTCTAGAATTTGTCATATCTTGATATAATTAGATTCTATGCGAGTATGGACAATTGATTTTCATTATCACTCTAACCTTGTGTTGTGCCTCTTTCATATACAACTATGACAAATGTGCGTGTGTATGATTAGGTCGCTTGAAATATATTGTCTTACGTATCATAGTGATGGTGAAATATGTTTTCTTATTTTTTGTTTGATAAATATGTAAACACACTCAATGAGAACACTGTTATTTTGATCATAGTGGTTAAAAGTGTAGAATGGATGTGTTCCGATTTCTTATAGTTTTTACCTTTCATGGTTATAATTTAAAGTCAACTACTCATTAGTCTTATCATATTCAGTTCTAAGTTGATCAGTTTCTATTAGAAGGTAAGCCTGCTGAACTGATGCATCGATATTGCCTGCATTTATATGACGAAATTGTAAATCAAACTAATACCAAATCAGTCATAATCAACATAGTCTAGTATAAACATGAGTTAGACCAACTTGCCATATTTCATCAGCACAATGGGATGAAATTAATTAAAGGAATAGCAAAAGAGTCGAGATGACAGTAGTATAATTAATAGTTGGAAAAACTGAACATTGAACAATAATTTGGACCATTGTATTTTCTATGAGATATTAATAAAGCAAATCATAATCAGTTGAATAAACATAAATCAAACGTTTACACTGGTTTAATTAAAATTCATTTAAGAAGCAAAAATTCCGACAAATAATACCGGATATGGTGAAGATCACTTGGGCAACATGAATCATGGATTTGAAAAAGAAATTAGTCATTTTGTGTCCATATATCAGAATGAGCTACTTCCATCTATTCAATAAGACCAATCACTGTTGATTACCATTTCGAACTTTTATCAAGCAAACATCAGAAAAATAACTATATCAAGTGTTCGATCAGGGAGTATGTAATATATGAAATGTATTAAGTAGGAAACAGGTGAAACGGGGTGAGTACAAATAAGAGTTATCTAACATATACAAACAAAAGTAATTATCTCAGATAAACCAGAGTTAAAGAAACACAGAAGGGGAATATGTAAGTTAGACAGGGTGATCTTATAGTATAGTTGACTATCGCTTTGAACCAAGCCAATATAAAAGAAGTAATAAAATCTGCTTTTTTGGACCCTACAACATATATGTGATCAAGCGAAGAGTAGAGGAAAACAAGCTCCATGAACTTAATACTGTTCTGACTTAAATGTAGCACTAATTTATATTTCAACAAGTTCAAGTAAACAAGTGATGATGCAATCAATTGATTTTTTAACTTCTTGTAAATCTGTTCAGTTTACTCTTTTACTAGTCAGTCAATTTATATGTAGTTGGATTAGCATAATTTTATATTTTTCGAAAATTATTTATCTTACCTAAATTTGTCTTTATTGATAAGCTACACTTACTTATGTATTTGCAAACATTTCGATAATATAAATTTACACATCTTACTTAAATTTATGTAGTGAACATTGTGAAAAC